TACAAATCAAAACTACAGACCAAAACCCTCTTGAACACAGATGTAAAAATCCTTAAAAACAAACCCAGCAGCAAATCAAATCCAGCCATACAAGTTTGGTTTTCCATTCAAAAAAATTTATGTTCTACTCCACATTAAAAGAGGAAAATCTGAAGAATATCTCAATAGATACAGAAAAGTCTTTGATAAAAGTCAACAACATAATAAAATCTTATAGCAAACTAGGAACAGAAGGGAACTTCCTCAAACTGATAAAAGATAACTATGGAAAACATTTAGCTAACATCATACCTAATGTAAACAAACTCTCTTCCCCTAAGATCAGTAACAAGTGTTTGCTCTCACCACTTCTACTAAACAATGTACTAGAGGTCCTAACCAATGCAATAAATGAAGAAAAAGAAATAAAAGGCCTAGAAATCAGAAAAGAACAAGAAAATTATGGTTATCTGGTATATGATTATGTATGTATAAAACCCTATGAAATCTTAAAGAATAGAATGATTAAGTGAATCTAGCAATTTCACATAGTACCTGGTCAATATAGAAAAATAAATTATATTTATATATATTAGCAACAAACAGAAAGTAAAAACTTTAATGTATTACATCATTTAAAACAGCATTGTAAAACTAAGAATAAAACTAATGAAAGGTGTGTAAGACCTTGATATTAGCAGGAAAAAATTAAGAACACCTATATTAACATAGAGATATATCACGATCATGAAGTGGCAGACTCAATATTGTTAAGATGTCCAGTCTCACTAAATGATCTACATGTGATACAATCTCTATTATAATTCTAGTAGGCTTTTCTGGAGAAATAGACAAGCTAATTCTAAAATTTACATGCAAGGGGACTTCCCTGGTGGTGCAGTGGTTGGGAATCCGCCTGCCAATGCAGGAGACACAGGTTCGAGCCCTGGTCTGGGAGGATCCCACATGCAGCGGAGCAACTAGGTCCGTGCGCCACAACTACTAAGCCTGCGCTCTAGAGCCCACGAGCCACAACCACTGAAGCCCACACGCCTAGAGCCCATGCTCTGCAACAAGAGAAGCCACCACAATGAGAAGCCCACGCACCACAATGAAGAGTAGCCTCTGCTCGCTGCAACTAGAGAAAGTCCTTGTGCAGCAACAAAGACCCAATGTGGCCAAAAATAAATAAGTTAATTAAAAATAAAAATAAATGGTAAATTAATCTAGTTGTTAAAGAACTCATCTAGAAAGATGTTCTTTTACACAAACAAATGAGATTTAACCTTGGAAGGAAGAAAATTCCCAAATATAACTATGAAGCTTAGTAATACAAAGGTTAAAGAGAACAAAGTTTTCGTCTAATCATGTTTTTCACACTAAGGAGCACAACCCATCAGTGGATCATAAAATCAATTTAAAACATGAAAATCACCTTTAAAAGGAGAATAAGAAACAACAGCATAGAAAAGAAAAATCAGAACACATCAAGTATGTTAAGGGTGAGTTTTGTTTCATGTGTATGAATGTAGTATATAAGATGTTATTTCTTTCTGTGGATCATAGTTAAAAGATCTAAAAACACTGATTTAATGTAACAGGAAACTGATGACCCCTAACTATGACAGTGTAACAGTATTTAGGTAACAGAGAAAAAGACCATTTTGTTATGGGAAAACTCTAGAAACCACCTATTTAGAAAGGAATAGAGAGATCACTGGTATAAAGCAAATACATTTTAGTTGTGAGGTCTTCTTTCACTTCAAATATATATTAGGAATCTCATCATGCTAAAAGCAGAAAGACTGAGTATGAACACTTCCTGAGTACTCTTACTGACAATTACATAATTCTGAAATGAGAGAAGTGGTAGATCCTTGAATCATAAAACCTAGCTCTGAAAGACATGAGAGATTTCATTTATTCTATTACAGTCTGAGTTGTGTCCCCTAAAATTCCTATGTTGGAGCTCTAACCCCAAAAGCCTGAGAATGTAGTCATACTTGGAGACAGGGCCTTTAAAGAAGTAATTAAAGTGGCATCATTAGGATGGGCCCTAATCCAAATATGACTAGTGTCCTTACAAGGAGAGGAGATTACAAAACAGACAACACATACACCAAGTGGCAACCATACGACGCCATGGCAAGAAGGTGACCATCTGAAGTCAAGGAGCGAAGCCTCAGAAAAAACCAACCTGGCAACACCTCATCTTAGATTTCAAACTGCCAGAACTGTGAGAAAATAAATTTCTGTTGTTTAAGCGACCCAATCTGTGATATTTTGTTATGGCAGACTATTACGTACCCTGGTAAACTAATACACACCTCTTAGATGAACAACATATGTTTAAATTATCTAAATACTCTCATGGCTAATTTATGCCAAGTTAGGACTAGAATACAGATTAAAACTTATTAGGAAAATAAAAATAGGTCAGTGATAGTAAACTGGCAAGAATACCAGCAGCCATTCAAACTGGAAATCATACAGTAAAGAAGAGCAAAAAAGTTGGCCCATATGCAGAGACCAGGTTTCAAACAGCCAGACTCATAAGACAGGCATGAGAGCAATGTCAGACACCTTAGAAGAAAGACAACTCAAAGAGAAAGCAAGAAGACTTGTCTATAAAGTTCAATTCTAACCACATAACTTTAAAAGTCCAAAAGAAGAGAAAGGAAAGGTACCAAAGAAACCAGTGGCTGCATAGGGAGTTATCTAGCTAACTTGGATTTTAAAAGGACACTTGTAGAAATAAGAGAAGCAGCCTATCAACCAGTCAGAAAGACTGAAGACAGAGGATGATGATACATGCAAAAAGTACTAGGGAAAAAAAAATTTCCTAGAAGAATAAGCTTCAAGCGTTGAGCTGATGATAGAATATAAATAAATGACAAAATCAGCAGCACAGAAAGACTCAATTCTTATTTACTTTCACCAAGAAAATTTTCAATCCTTACACAAGACAGGTGATGCTATAAAGATATTATCTAGCTACTTTGAGACAGAATGGTATAGGAAAAAGAGCACAGATATCAGAGTCAAATTGTACCTGGGTTAAATCCCAGCATTGTCACTTATTGGAAAGGCAGTAGTGCATATAGTTAAATAATTGACAACAATTACTACAGAAAAACCCTGAGTGTTTTAATTGACATGGGCAAAAATTTGCTGACCAACAAAGAAGATCTAAAACTACTAAAGGAGAAAAAAGAAAGCATGACATATGATATAATATAATATAATGCCACATTAGTAGAAGAATGTCCAAATCAACGGAAATAAATATGAACAGAAGTCAGAAGACATAGGAAAAACCTATGTTCGCTTCTGGTTGTTACCTTTCATGAACAACAGAAAAGGGTGACCATAGGTGGTGATCTATATCATATATGTCATATAATGAAAACTAGAAATATTTAGCCAGGACAGTGACTGAGGGTTTGTACTTGCACATGAAGAAAAAGAACCTATGAAAAAGTAAAGGGTACGGGCTTCGCTGGTGGCGCGGTGGTTGAGAGTCTGCCTGCCGACGCAGGGGACACTGGTTCATGCCCCGGTCCGGGAAGATCCCACGTGCCGCGGAGCGGCTGGGCCCGTGAGCCATGGCCGCTGAGCCTGCACGTCCGGAGCCTGTGCTCGGCAACGGGAGAGGCCACAGCAGTGAGAGGCTCGCATACCGAAAAAAAAAAAAAAAAAGTAAAGGGTAGGTATATTTTCTTCAAGATGAGGAAGAACTTTACAACATTTAGAAGTGTTCAGAGAATGAACTGACATACAGTGATGTTCTCATCAACAGGGGCTAATGATAACCCATACAGAATTTAAAGATTCAGGAATTCATGTTTCTGGAAGGAATTTTATCACTGTTATACAATAATACTAGAATACTTCTAGGCTCATGTAAATTAACTCAAAGAAACTTAAAAATTACATTTAAAATTAACAAAAGAAATTTTACTTATATTATTAGAAAAACAAAATAAAACCACCGAAACAAAAAGGAAAATTCTAACACAGAATACTTCGAAATCTTGGCCAATGGTTCACTTTTTTTAGTTCTATGATGACAAAAAATCTATCACTATGAATAAACCGTCACATTGATTTATTTTTCTACTTATCAAAGTGACAAACTTACATTACAATAAGAAATTTATCATATATATAATAATCCCAAGAAAGAACATAAGAGTAGGCAACAGTGATAACAAAATCTACATACAATGAATGATAATAACATTATCATTAATGCATTAAAATTTCTCAAAATGCTTTTCCACCTGTTTGCCATCTAATCTGAAAACAACTCTGAGGCAGACAAAGCAGTTAGTATTAGTCCCATTTTAGTGTCTTCCTGAGGCTACGAGGGGCAAATGCCTTTCCTCAGATCATTTAAGTTGGTCCAGAGTATGAAGTATGAATCTGGAGCATATGACTCCTGGTCAGTATCCATTCTTTCTTTCTTTTTTTTTGGCTGTGCCACATGGCTTGCGGGATCTTAGTACCCCAACCAGGGATTGAACCCGGGCCCATGGCAGTGAAAGTGCCAAGTCCTAATCACTGGACCGGCAGGGAATTCCCCATTCTTTTTTTAATAACTTTTGTTTTCTCTTCAATGAATAATACATTTTCATTGTACAAATGTTAGAATTCAGATAGATAAATCATCTCCCTAATTAGACAACGTATTAATATTAACAAGAAACTTTAACTTATCTTTGAAGTAAAAAAAAAATGGAAGTAAAAGAAATAATTCAAGTAAATAAGAAAAAATTTATTTTACTTCCCATAATTCTAAGTTGAGAAAACAGAAGGCTAAGTGGATCAGTTAAGTAGAATAAAGAATGTTTTCTTGACCGACCATTAAATATTTTACAGGTCAATACTCTTAACACCAAAATGTAGACACATTCCCTTAAATAGGGCTCTAGCAATATTAGATTTCTCATCTTTACATGCTTAAAGAAAACAACCTAAACTTCATTTTTAATAATATAATTAAAAGGTAAAACCATTACTTTGGGTGTGCTTCCTTTAATGAATTTTTTAATTGAAGACAACAAGCCAGTTTCATTCTTCGGTGGTTTTTCTCCTCCTGAAGGCAGGCTATCATCAACCTCTGAATATTTCCTCTTTGCTCTGGCAGTGCGTTGTGTTTGGATTTGATTTGATTGCTGAGAAGCTTTCCGTGTTCTCAGCCTCATCTTTTATGGGTGCCACATGTAAAACTGTAAGAGAAAAATAATACAGGTTATTAAAATTAAACCTAGCATACCCATATGTGCCCAGCTTATATAATAAAAATATCTCAATTAAAAAGAAGTCCAGGGCTTCCCTGGTGGCGCTGTGGTTGAGAGTCCGCCTGCCGATGCAGGGGACGCGGGTTTGTGCCCCGATCCGGGAGGATCCCACATGCCGTGGAGCGGCTGGGCCCGTGAGCCATGGCCGCTGGGCCTGTGTGTCCGGAGCCTGTGCTCCGCGGCGGGAGAGGCCACAGCAGTGAGAGGCCCGCGTATCACAAAAAAAAAAAAAAAAAAGAAGTCCAGGTCTATGAGGGACTGAAAAAAAGAAACTGACATTTTATTTATTTATGTATTTATTTTGGCCATACCACACACGACTTGCGGGATCTTAGTTCCCCAACCAGGGGTTGAACCCAGGCCCTCAGCAGTGAGAGCGTGGAGTCCTAACCATTGGGCCACCAGGGAATTCCCAAGAAACTAACCTTTTAATTGAAACATGTAGTGCTTTGAATTTTATTACATTCTCCCAAATAACCTTCCCACAACTTCTGAAATATTATATCCTATGATCTAATAGAGTGCGCATGTTCCTTCCAGAGCACTATGCTGCCTCCACCCATGCTGACCTTATCATTCATTTAATCACTCATTCATTCATTCAACAAGTATTTATTGGGCACTTACCACATTCTAGGCACTGGGCTAGGTAAGTGCCTAGTAAAACAAGATAGAGAAGGTTTTTACCCTCTGGAGCTTACAATGTAGTGGAAAAAACCCTTAGTCAATGAATGAATTAATTCCATGAGCACAATTCTAAATATCAACAAGTATACAAGTATCAATATAACAAGAATGACTGGATCATTCTGTGGTATTTGATGTTACCATATGTAATGATCTTTTTTTTTAAGTGTTCAATTCAGTGACATTTATTAATCTGCGGTATTGTCCAACCATCATTATCTATTTTCAGAACATTTTCAATCACCCCCAGAGGAGACCCCATACCTATTGGCAGTCACTCCCCATTTCCCCCTGCCCTTAGCCCTAAGCAACCACTAATCTCTTTTCTGTCTCTATGGATTTCCCAATTCTGGACACTTCATGTAAGTGGAATCACACAATATATGGTCCTGTATAACTGTTTCTTTCCCTTAGGATAATGTTTTCAAGGTTCATCCATGTTGTAGCATGTATCAGTACATTATTCCCATTTATGGCTGAGTAATGTTCTATTGAATGGGTAAGACTACATTTTGTTTATCCATTCATCTACTGATGGACATCTGTGTTGTTTCTACCTTTTGGTTAAGTGTGAATAGTGCTTGAGTGAACATTCATGTACAAGTTTCTTTTTGACCACCTGTTGTGAGTTCTATTGGGTATGTAACCAGGAGTGGAATTGCTGGTTCATGTGGAGATTTTATGTTTAACATACTGAGGAACTGCTGTTTTCCATAGCAGCAGCACCATTTTATATTCCTACCAGCAATGTACAAGGTTTTCACTTTTTCCATATCCTCACCAACACTTGTTACTTGTTTATTTTTTTATTATAGCCATTTTAGTGGGGGTGAAGTCGTATCCCATTGTGGCTTTGATTTGCATTTCCTAATGGCTAATGATGTTGAGCATCTTTTCCTGTGCCTGTTGGCCATTTGTTTGTAATGATCCTTTAAATACCAAATTCACATCAGAAGGAAAATATGAGGCCATCGATTTGAACTCTCTCATCTCACTGATGAGAAAATTAATGGCTGGCAAAAATTGTCCCAAGACTTAGAAGTAGTTGAGAACATTCCCTGAATTATAATCTGTGAAATAGAATACAAAAACTACTACACTAATAATTAAGAGATATTAATTAGGTCTAATCCTACTTCAATCATAGCTAAGCTATAGCCACTTAACTATTTTTTCACCTGTATAATGAATACATTATTCATCTTACCATCTTGACGCTCAAAATGAAAAAGGAATTAGAAAAGCTATAAAGTGCAGAGAAGAGTAAAACTACTCACAACAGTGAATGCATTAGCAAAAAAGTCTAACCAGTTAAGCACTCTAAACTCCTAAAGGTGAAGAAATTCTTGGCAAAGAGTAGGGTCTTCGCAGACAAATTAGGAAGCTTAAGAAGTCATGTCTTGGGCTTCCCTGGTGGCGCAGTGGTTATGAATCTGCTGCCAATGCAGGGGACATGGGTTTGAGCCCTGGTCCGGGAAGATCTCACACGCCATGGAGCAACTAAGCCTGGCACCACAACTACTGAGCCTGCGCTCTAGAGCCCGTGTGCCCAGAGCCCACGCTCCACAACAAGAGAAGCCACCGCAAGAAGCCTGCGCACCTCAACGAAGAGTAGCCCCTGCTCACCGCAACTAGAGAAAGCCCGCGGTGCAGCAATGAAGACCCAACAGATCCAAAAACAAACAAAAAAACAAACAAAAAGTCGTGTCTTTAGTAATGCAACACAACAGCCACAGAAAAAAAAGGGAGGACCCCTCCCTTTTTTAACATATAGAAACTATACACACACACACACACACACACACACACACACACACACACACACACACACACACACACACACACACTATACTCCAACAAAAAAGTCCCAACCTCAAAGGCTTCACCAGAGGAGTCCTAAAATATCTTTCCAAACAACCATTTGTTTTTCATCACCAAATAGTGCTCAGTTTTAAGTTGTCATCCCCAAATAAAACAAATACTGCCTTTTCTCTTAAAGAGTCAATGTTAACTTCTAAAGGGATTTACTCAAGGTATGTATTATTTACTTAAATAACTCTATTTACAGTGTATAAATTTTGTCTTAATTCCTTTGTTCTTCAGCAGAGCACTCCTTAAAAAGGAAAATTCCCATAAAGCAAATGCATGGGGGAATTTTTTCAAAAAGAAAGTTATTTGTATTCAATTTCTGTAAAAATGTGTAAAAAAATTTTTTTTAATATTTTCAAAAATACCTATGGGTGAACCTATCTTAAACCCAGAATCTTTAATGGAAATTTAAAAATTTTATGAAATAATATCTTCATATAAAGTAGGTCTTAAAAGACTAAACACATATAGCTAGTTCAGTCCAAGGGGTTCAGCTCATTAAAATTTAAATATTGGTCACCTGCTACCAGTATGGTAATAAAAGGATAAAAATGATACCTCTTCCCATGAGAATCAAAATGTCTAACAGGTTAAGGATAGATACACATCATAGTGTATATATAAAATGCTAGATCACTCTTCATGGAGAGTGAAGATTTTAGGAAAGCTTAGGAGAAAGGTCCTCTGAACTTAAAAATAACCAGTCACTGGAAAGAAAGACAAGAGCATTTAAAGAAGGAGGCTGAAATGTAGAGGGTTTTAGTCCATTCCAATAATGAGTTGTAAAAGGTATACTTAATAGTTCTAAAAGGGCTGGAGCAGTCAAGCCCTCATGAACTTCTGAAACTGACCATCAAGACTAAAATCTTACAAAGTATATACTTTGACCACAATTATAAATCAAAAACAAAAGAAATCTTAAATAGTACCATATACTTGAAATTTTTTAAATTTATAAATAAATCATGAGTCAAAAAAGAATTCACAAGGGAAATACAAAATATTCTGAAATGAAAATTAACAAAAAGAGAGCACTTCAAAATTTCTGGGATGTAATAAGCAGCACTTAGAGGGAAATTATAAACATACACGTACCTAACAACAGAGTCCCCAAATATATAAAGTTAAAATTGTCAATCTAAGTGAAAAACAGGCAATTCAACAAGAGTTGGAGGCTTTAATACTCCACTTTCAAAAACGGATAGAATAGCTAGACAAAAGATCAATAAGGAAACAGAAGACCTGAACGATTCTCAAGACCTAAGAGTCATATACATAGAACACTCCATCCAACAACAGAATACACATTCTTCTTAACTTAAAAATGAAATATTTTCCATGAAAGACTACATGTTAAGACACAAAACAAGTCTCACCTTTAAAAGAACTGAAATCGGGCCTCCCTGGTGGCACAGTGGTTAAGAATCCACCTGCCAATGCAGGGGACGTGGTTCCAGGCCTGGTCCGGGAAGATCCCGGACATGGTGCAGAGCAACTAAGCCCATGTGCCACAACTACTGAGCCTGCAATCTAGAGCCTGCATGCTACAACTACTGAAGACCACGCACCTAGAGCCCGTGCTCTGCAACAAGAGAAGCCACCATGATGAGAAGCCTGCACACCACAACAAAGAGTAGCCCCCAGTCGCTGCAACTAGAGAACGCCTGCACACAGCAATAAAGACCCAACATAGCCAAAAATAAAATAAATAAAATAAATTTATAAAATAAATAAATTTATAAAATAAATAAATAAAATAACTGAAATCATACAAGTATATGATCTCCAACCACACTGGAATTAAATTAGAAATCACAAGGAAGGAAAGTTGAGAAATTAACAAATGTGCAAAAACTAAACAACAAACTCCTAAATAAACACTGTGTCAAAGAAGAAATCACAAGGGGAATTAGAAAATACTTCACAATGAATGAAAACAAAAACACAGCACACCAAAACTCATAGCATGCCCCTAAAAGCAGTGCTCAGAGGACAACTTACAGCTGTGAATGCTAATTTGTTAAAAAGACCTCAAATCAATAAAAAAAGCCTTCTAGCTTAAAAAACTAGAAAGAGAAAAGCAAACTAAATCTAAAGCAAGCAGAAGAAGGAAAATAATAAAGAAATAGAACAGAAATAAATCAAACATAATTTTTTAAAAAACAATGAAGCCTAAAGTTGGTTCTTTGAAAAGAGCAACAAAATTGACAAATCTTTAGAACTAGACAAGAAAAAAAGAGAAAACTCAACCTACTAAAATCATCAATGAAAGAAGTGACATTAATACCAACTTCACAGAAATAAAATGGATTATGAGAAAATACTATGAAAAACTGTACAGCAACAAATGAGATAACCTAGATTCAATGGAC